GACGAGGTCTCACCAAGTTGCCCGGGCTGGTCTTGAACCCGCAGGCTCAGGCAATCCTCTTGCCTCAGCCTCCCAAAGTGCTGAGATTACAGGCTGAGCCACCACGCCTGGTCAGAATTCCCTATTTTATTCATACACGTGCCATGATGTCATCATGGTCTGTAAAAGATGATGTCCCACTCTCACCCCTACCACTGAGGATGAGGAAGATGGTCTGCCGATCCAACCAAGGGATCCTGGAGGTCTGGAAGAAGTGGGGAGGAAAGGGGCCTTGACTTGAAGGGAGGGAGAGGAAGGGGTCACAGTGGCAGGATGGGGTCCTGCCTCAGGAAAGTCAGGGTCAGCAGCCAGGAATGCAGGAACTGGAATGTCCTAGAACAGAGGTTTTTAAGGTCCAGATATTAGATGACTTGGGCTCTGCAGACTCCATGGTAGATGTCGCAGCTACTCAACTCAACTCTGCCTTGTGGGAAAAAGCCACCATGAATGAGAACTTCATGAGCACTGAATTCTGAATTTCATATAATTTTCATGTGTGAAGATAAAGTGTTATTTTTCTTCTGATTTTTTTCTACCACTTAAAAATGTAAAAGCCCTTCTTAGCTCACAGCTGTACAGAACAAGTAGAGGACCAGATTTGAGCCAGGGGCTGTAGTTTGCTTCAAAGTAAATTTCCCATTGTTGGCTGGGCTGCACAGTAATGCAACATCTTTAACATCAGTACAATTCAGTGCAATCATGCAATGTCCATGAGAATTTGGGGAAATGTGGTGTTCCACATGTCAATGATAGCAAAGAGATAAAGATAGACACTGGATGGAACATGAGTAGGTCGGGACTTCAGTGGAAACAGGGAATGAACGAGAATGTCCTTGGGATCTCTCTACTACACCTTCCCCTTTGTACCGTGGATGGACAAGTGACTAGTTCTGGGGTGAGTTTTAGGAGCCCCACTGTGATACATCTTAGTGTCATTCTTCATCACCACAGCTAGCAATGAAGCTTCACGTCGGTCTTGATGGCGCTGACTCCTGCATCTAGTGCAGAACAGATTCCAACATGTGCAGGGAGTATTATGTGTCAACTCCCCTATCTCTGGGAACCCTGAGCAACTCTGAGTTCTCAGACCAAGGACCAATTCCTCCATGCAGTGTTCTCAAACTACCCCAACCTAACTAGAGTTCGTTCATTTCATCTTCATGAACATTTGTTATGAAGTACTGAGTGTCAGGGTCGATCCTCAGCACCAAAAACATAAGAAAATTATATGAGGTTTCTACTCCACAAGAGGTACTGTGGGGTAGAGGGATGAAGACATGTAAAAATGAGGGTGTAGGAGGAGGTTTCTTTTGGATGTGATGTCAGCCAAAAGAAGACCACGGCAGGCTCTACAGAGGCTGCCTAGATGGGATGACGCTGGAACTAACTAGGAATGTGCTTGCCTCTCGGGGGAAGTTGCTTGAGGCTGAGGTCTCCGTGGTAAAGGAAGGGGAATGAAATCAGCACATGGGAGGGGTAGTCCAGGAAGGGATGGGGCTGGGCAGAGGCAAGGCTTTGGGTCTCACTCTCAGGTTTCGAAGATGACCTTCTAAAAAAACAGGAAGTCTCTGGAGATTTCTGAGCAGGCTGGTATAGCTTGGGAAGATCGGGTGGTGGCAATGTGGCAGCTGGTTTATAGAAATATAAGCCTAGAGACAGGGATAGCATTTAGAAGAAACAAGGTCCTGCGCTATAACAATAACAATGGGTTTGGAGAGGACAGATACGGGAGACACGGAGGAGGTAGGTCAATGCAGTATGGTCACTGATAACAACATCAGGGAGGGAACTCAGTCCCATCTTGGATGACCTTCGGAAATGTGTCTCTCTTCAAAAAGGGAGTGGGTTGAGGAAAAAAAGACTACAACTTGGGATCTGGATGTGCTGACCTGGACGCCTTCTGGGGCACTGGTCTAGCAGAGAGTGAGTGGACCCATTCTCCCTCTAGGGAAGGCATTCTAACTAGGCATTGACGTGAACCCTTAAGAAAATATTATGTAGCAGGACTGCAGGAGAGTTGCCTCCCTCCAGGTATGTGGGTAGTCATTCCCAGGCCGCCCAGTCCAGACTCAGGCCACCAACAAGGGGTCACTTTCATGGTGAGCAGTGTTTCCTGTACTCAGCTGACATTCCCCACTGTCGACTTTAAGGGGAATAGAGCCAGAGAGTTGATCCAAGGACATTTTACAGTTGAGAAGGCAAGAGAATGTTGCTAACCTTTTCTCATGCATGAATGTTTGCCAAAGTGATTCCTTGGAGAGTGTTCAAATGTGAGTTCTGTTTCTCTTGGGCCTGCTGCCAAATGGTGAAGAAAACACAGAGAAAGCCCTGACTAAAAGGCAGTTACATTTCCTCTGTCCTCTCCCACTCCTGTTTGTCAAAATAACCCAACTAAAAGTGTTTTGCTTTACTCAGAATTCAGTGTCTACTATGTAGCAGGTATTTAGTAGGAGAGGGAGGTCTTTCTAATATTAGGAAAAAGAAAAGACAAACCCGCTCGTTTATTCTAGATGCCATTTTCTCAACGGAGGAATCAGAATTGGGAAGTTCTGATAGATTTAAAGGATTTTAAAAAGGACTAGGGAGGACTCTTTGTTAGTCTCAAACAGGGACTCTCAAAACTTAAAAATTTAAACTCAAAGTTCAAACAATTAGAAAATCGACTGGCTAACATAGCTGGAAATCCAGAGATAGAATAGACTTCAGAGCTAGGTGGTTCATAGGCTCAGGTTTGTTCCATCTCTCTGTTCTGCCTTGAAGTGCTGCCTTCAGCCTCGGGTTGGCAACATGATACTGCTGACGTTCCAGTCATCACTCCCAGACCTAACAATACCCAAGGAAGGCAAGAACCTGTATCTTTCTGTAGGTCTGTTCTAGTAAAGGAGAAATCTTCTGTCCCCATCTTTCAGACTTACTCACTTCTCATTGGTATACACTGGGTCCAGGCCCATTGCTGCACTACTCATTGGCAAAGAGAATTGGATTGTATTGAGCCCAGTCAGGCATCTGTGGAGCTGAGGCACCTGGTTCCATGTGAGAGGAGCAGTGTCTGAACCAAACCAAATTCTGTAAGGAAGAAGGGCAAAGGTAGCTGCACAGACAACAAGCAGCATCCTCTACAGACCACGAGGATCCACTTCCGAATTGGAGATGCTTAGAACAATGGATTCATGAAATAACACTTTAGAAATGCCCAAAACACAAAGATTTAAAGATTATAAAAGATGATCAGAAAAATAAGAAGAAAAAGTAAACTGCACCAAACAAGGACGACACAAATCTCATAAAGTGCAATCCCTCAGTGTGAGTCTGAGGAGCACCTTGCATGTCCGGTGACTCTCCTCCTCTCCCAGCCCTCGCTTCTGCTTTTTCACCTGCCATTGTACCTTAGCCAGGTACTGCCTATAGTCTTCTGGGCAGGCACCATCCCCGCCTCGCTGGACATCTGGCCATCAAGGAAGAGGCCGTTGCCGTAGAAGGAGCCCTCACCCTCCCTCTCCAGCCCCTCCACCACAGCAATGAGCTCCACCAGCTTCTGCCTCTGATCCTCCCCAGTGGCCCTGTTGCTAAAGTGTTTGCTTTACTCAGAACTCAGTGAGTGTCTACTATATAGCAAGTGCTTTAGTAGGAGAGGGAGGTTCTTCCTAATTTTAGGAGCAATACTTCCTCCTACACTCCTGCACCAGGTCCTTCAGCCTGAGGTTGTCCGTGTTTGCTACGTACTCATCTAAGGCCTTGCTCCCTAAGTCTTCCTTGTGGGTGAAGAGGATGATCACGTGTCTCATGGCCCCTGACCCAAAGACTTCCTTCACCCTCCTGATGGCCTCTGTGTCCTGGGCTGTGAAACTCCCCAGCTGGGTCACCAGGAGCAGCACATGGGGCCCTGGGGCAGACAGCAGGTAGCAGTCCCCGATGTCCCTGTACATCTCTTGGGTCTGGGCCTTTGGCTCAAAGGTGGAGGGTGTATCGAACACCAGGACATCCCTCCCGTTCCATGTGCCTGTCTCCCCCTAGCATGTCCTGATCACTGACTGGGACCCCAGCTTGGACTC